ATCCATTATTGCATTGTCATACACAGTAGTTTCACTGCCCTAAATATCCTCTCTGGTCAACCTTGTCCACACTAAGCCTCCAGCAACTTGTCAATTATAGTTTAAGTTTTCCTTTGCAAAGTATTTTCTTCCTTTGCCTTTTAAAAAGATTTTCCCTTTGTTGTTAGTTTTCTGCACTTTGAATGTGATATGTCTAGGTGCAGATTTTTTTTATATTTATTCTGCTTGGTGTTCTCTGAACTTCCTAGATCTGTGGTTTGATGTCTGTCATTAATTCCGGAAAATTGTGAGTTATTTTTACTTAAAATATTTCTTCTGTTTATTTTTTTGTTTCTTCTTCTTATATTCTCATTATGCATATGTTAAACTTCTTATAATTGTCCTACATTTCTTATATATTCTTTTTTTATTTTTTTGGCTTTTTAGTTTAGGAAGTTTCTATTGACATATTTTCAAGATTATGTCTTTGCTATGTCTAGTCTGCTGATGAGCCCATCAAAGGCTTTTTTGTTTCTGTTAACAGTATTTTTGGTTTCTATTATTTCCTTTTTCTGTCTTAGAGTTTCCATCTCTGTGCTTACATTTCTCATCTGTTCTTGCATGTTATCTACTTTTTTCATTAGAACCCTTAGAATTTAAATTTAGATATTTTAAATTCCTTGTCTGATAGTTCCAAAGTCTCTGCTGTATCTGAGCCTGGTTCTTATGGTAGCTTTGTCCCTTCAGACTGTGTTTTTCTTGCCTTTTAGCTTGCCTTTTGATTTTTTTTTTTGAAAGCTAAACATGATGTGCTGTGTAAAAGTAACTGAGGTAAGTAAGCTTTTAGTGTGAGGTTTTATATTTATCTGGCTAGGAGTTATGCTGTATTTACTGCTTTTAGCTACAATGTCAGAGGCTAAACTGTCTTCTAGTGTCCTTGTTTTTATCTTTCATGTCATCTTTGGATTTCCCTAGAGACTTCTTAACTAGAACCTGAGGCTTGTAGTTCTTCCAGCTGAAATCCCTGATCATAATTCAGGAGCCCTGCTGATGTAGTGGTGAAGTTTGTGGGGAAGGGAAGCAGTCTCTGATCTTATGACTAGGTCTCAGTAATTTACCAAGCCTGTGTCTTTGGGCAGTGACCATCACAAGTGCTTTTTACCTTTCTGTGTGGCATAAGAAAATTAGAGGGGGCTGGAATTGGTCATAGCCCTTCCCCTACTTCAGTTAGGCTCTGGCAAAACCCAAGTTGCTTAGGCCCTGACAAAATAATTTTCCTTGATTGCAGGCCACTATTAAGGAATACAGAGTACCCTAGGCTTATGTTGCAGTAGTTACTTTTCCCTGCCAGAAGCATAGTTGCTTCCTGTGCTTCTCCCCTGATATTCGAGCCGTGGTCCTGTTGGGGCTTCGGGAGGTCAATGCACAAAAATGCTGTGTTCCCCTAAGGCTGGACCTTTAGGAGTTTTTATCTCACAAGTTAGTCCACAGTTTAGTCTCTAGCATATAATCAATTACTCTGTGTGTTCCTACCAAACTCTAGCAGTGGCTTTTGCTCCTGGTAAGCTGTTATTCTCTGTATCTAGCTGCCTTTCCAATTTTCAGTGTGACTATTTGTCTTGTGACTTAGCTCTCTGATGGATCTAAGGAAAGTTGTTGATTTTCAGCTTACTCAACTTTTTTCTTGTGAGGATAGACGTAATGACTTCCAAGATGTATACACATCAGACAGGAAATTGGAGTCTCCTCTTGTACATTTTTAAGTTGTGTTGTTTTCCTCGTATTGCATATTTTTCACAATTCTGGATTGACTTTTTGTTTTGTGTGTGTTGGAAGTATTTTCTCCAGTTGACCTTTGCCTTTTAACTCTCGTATGTTTTCTGGGAAAAAAAAAAAGTTGTTAAAGCAGTTCAGTTTATCAACCTTGAATGCTATATGTGTCCTTTTGAAATATGGTTGCTTTTTATGAATTAACCTTTAATCCAGTAATAGTACTGAATTCACTTAGTTATTCTAGTAACTTATCTAATAGCTTTTTTTTTTTGCAAGGGATGTTTCTGTGTATGCAGTATGTCTTTTGCAAATGACTAGATTTTTTTCTACTGGTCTAACACTTTCTTTTTCATTGATAAGGACCTCCAGGATATATTGGTTAGAAGGAGTGATCATTAATTCTTTTTCTTGTTCCTGATCTTGGACTCAAGGCTTTCAACATTTCTTTACTTAGTATGAATCTGGTTTTGGGGGACTATCCTTTGTCCTTCAGCAAATTAAGGAAGTTCTCTTTCTTTCCTAAGTTTGCTGACACTTTTTATTATGAGTGAGTGTTGAATTTATCAAACACATTTTCTGCGCTTATTATCTAGGTTTGGTGTGTTTTATGTAAGCTGCTTGGGGTTTGTAGGGCTTTTTGAATTTGTTGCTTGCTGTCTTTTGTTGATTTTGGCAAATTCTCAGCTGTTATTTCTTTAAATGTAATTTCTGCTCCATTCTCCATATCTTCTTTTTTTCTCAAAGCCCAAATATGGGCCATTTGCCCTATGAGCTCCACTCTCTATGGACCTGAGGAGAGTTGTTGATTTTCAGTTTGCTTAATTTTTTTTTTTTTTTTGCAAGGATAGAAGTAATGACTTCCAAGCTTTTTACCTATCAGGTGGGAAATTGGAGTCCCCTCTTGTACATTTTTAACTTTAGACCTTCTCACTAAATCCCCTTTATATCTAACCCTTATGTTACATATTTTCCAACCTTTTGTCTCTCTGTGCTTCATTCTGGATATTTTCTTCTAATCTATCTTCCAAATATATTATTCACTCTTTAATTGTTTCTAATGTGCTGTTAAAACCCATCAAGTTCTTTATTTTTTAGTTCTATAATTTATCTTTTTTTCCATATAATTAGCATGTTTATTTTAAAGGCCATGACTGTGAATTCCAACATCTGTAGCTCCCATGTAGTATCTCTTTTTCTTGTTTTTGTTTTTCTTCAATGTTAATTCTTCATATGCCTGGTTACTTATTTATATATATGTATGTATATGCAACCTTGACATTATATTTACAAAATTGTGTGTAGAATTAGAGAGCCTTAACATAATGCTGTCTCGCTCTAGATATGATTTATGTCTGTTTCTTTCATTCTTCCAGATAATAGGATTATCTCAATCCAACTTAGTAATTGAGATGATTCAAATCTGATTTGTAGTTCCCATGAGAGCCTGTCCTTCTAGTTTACTCCTGCTGTTAGGGTAGAGCCATTTGCTGTCCTTAGCCAGTGTGAGGGGGATAAACCTTGGTCCTCCTACCTTAGGAAGCTTTGATGTCTACTCTGTGTCACCCTAGCCTCCTTAGGGCCTAGCACCTATCAGAGGCCCTGGCTCATAAATATTTTTTGAATAGATGGATGAGTTTACCACCTGTCAGGCATTGTGCTACTCACTGAAATACAGATTAACTTTTGGCTATTAAAAAGTTGTATCTGGAAAAAATTTTAGAATAAAAATTTATAAATTTCACAAGAGCTTGAAATATATTATTTTAAAGCATTCCATATTTAAGTTGCATAACTCTTGAATGGAATCTTAAATATGTATTATAAATAACTTACAAAGGACCTCTGTTTTTGGAACTCATGTCATTTGTTTTCATTTTGCTGATCTTTTCTGTTATCTTTAAATGTTTCCATTTGTTTTTCTTTTTATTTCAGTTATTTACTTATTAGTATTTTTTGGAACACCTGCTATATGCTGGGAACCCTCCTAGGTGTTGGGGTTATGAATATAAATGCAATCTTGTCCCTGCCCTTAAAGAGCTAAGGTCTAGGAGAGAAGCAGTAATGATGTGAGATAATGGCTAAATGGAAGCTACCTGTAGGATGCTACAGACTGAGTTAGAAGGCGTGTGGGAGTGGGCCAGGCTTGGACAAAGCCAGGAAATGCTAACCTTGAAGGACAAATAAAATTTGTAGAGGTGATAAAATTTGTTTCAAGAAATTGTTTTTCAGTATGTTAATAACACCCTAACAGACATTTCAGTTTCTCCACTAGCTATTACAGTTTAAAGAGGTATTGACACTTCTGTTTCCCTTGCCATGCTTCCACCAACTATTGGCCTGATAGTAATATTTTAGGCTTTGAGGGGCGTGAGGTTTTTTTCACCACTCTGCCATGAAAGCAGCTGTAGGCAAACCATAAACAAAAGAGCATAGCTGTGTTCCAATAAGACTTTATTTATGGACACTGAAATTAGAGTTTCATATAATTTTCATGTGTCACAAAATACTCACCTTTTGTCTTTTTAACCGTTAAAAATTTTGAAAACCATTTTTAATTTGCTGTATGCTGGATTTGGCCTGTGGGCCATAGTATGCCATCCCAGCTTTGGGCTATTTTTTGTTTGCTTTTTGAGACAGAGTCTGGCTCTGTCACCTAGTCTGGAGTGCAATGGCGCGATCTCGGCTCACTGCAACCACTGCTTCCTGGGTTCAAGTGATTATTCTAGCTCAGCCTCCTGAGTAGCAGGGACTAAAAGCATGCACCACCATACCCAGCTAATTTTTGCATTTTTAGTAGATATGGCGTTTCACCATGTTGGCCAGGCTGTTCTCGAACTTCTGACCTTAGATGATTTGCCCTTGTCCTCCCAAAGTGCTGGGATTACAGGTATGAGCCACTGTACCTGGCTGACTAGTATATGTTTAAACTAAAAATATATAAACTTTAAAAACACACACACATACAAAAGTAACCAACACATGCTTGGTGTAAAACTAAAGCCTTTCAGAAATATTACATAGAAAATGAAAATCTTCCCTTTCTCCTCCCCCCTGCCCCCCCCACCGCTAAATCTCAAGCCCTATATAATAATTGCTTATAACAATTTGGAATATATTCTAGAAATTTTTTTCTGTGTACATATTAATTTTTATAAAACTGGGTTTGTATCGTATCACCGGTCTGCACTTAATCATGCACTTAGCAATTTAGCCTTTTAAAATCGATTTTGTGCTGTTGTGTTTTCAAGGTGCGAAAGGCAGTTGAGGAAGAAAATTGCTGCTTTGGAACTGTTGATACCTGGCTGTTATATAAGCTCACAAAAGGTAAAGGTAACCTGGAAGATCTATTTTAAGTAGCTGAAATTTGATCAAGAAAAATGATTTACCCAAAAAAAGTAGAAGTTACTTTTTTTTTTTTTTTTTTTCTGAACTAGGTTCTGGCTCTGTCAAGCAGGCTGGAGTACAATTGTACCCCATGACTCACTGCAGACTCGACCTCCTGAGCCCAAGCGATCCTCCTGCTTCAGCCCCCTGAGTGGCTGGGACTATAGGTGTATGCCACCACACCTGGCTAATTTTTTGTATTTTTGGTGGAGGCAGGGTTTTGCCCTGTTGCCCAGGCTTGTCTTGAACTCCTGGACTCAAGCAATCCATCTGCCTCAGCCTCCCAGCGTGCTGGGATTATAGGCGTGAGCCACCACATATGGCCAGAAGCTCCTTTTTTTTTTCTTCCTATACTCAAGACGTACTGCTCTTTTTTTTTTTTTTTTTTTTTTTGGGGATGGAGTTTTGCTCTTTTTGCTCAGGCTGGAGTGCGATGGCACAATCTCGGCTCACCGCAACCTCTGCCTCCCGGGTTCAAGCAATTCTCCTGCCTCAGCCTCCTGAGTAGCTGGGATTACAGGCGTGCACTACCACACCCAGCTATTTTTGTATTTTTAGTATAGATGAAGTTTCTCCATGTTGGTCAGGCTGGTCTCGAACTCCCAGCCTCAAGTGATCCACCCGCCTCAGCCTCCTAAACTGCTGGGATTACAAGCGTGAGCCACCTTACCCGGCTCGTACTGCTCTTTAGTACCCTAATAACAACATGTTGTAGTAAAGCTAGTCTTATTCTAGATTTGTTATAAGAGGAGGACGGTTTTTAAATAAATTGTGATGAAACCTCAGCATAAGACTGGGGACCAGTCTTAATTTCAAGGATGATAAGATGAGTTCAGTGACAAATCTGCCATCTTGCTAGTGGTTATAACTATGGGTAACATTCACATCTTTAAGCCTCTTTGTCATCTTTAAACTGGGGGATCATAAAGTGACAACATGTCTGTAAGTGCTTTTGCACAACTATAAACGTTCATAAAGACTGAGTGGAAAATTGCTTTTGGAGACTGCATTGAAAATACACATTTTGGAATGAACTTTGAGGGTCTGGATTATACACTAGGGATAGGTGTTGATTTATGTTATCTGATAATGAATGTATTATTTCCTATTAAATTTAGGTTCTGTATATGCCACAGATTTTTCAAATGCTAGTACAACTGGACTTTTTGACCCATATAAGGTAAAATTTTTTTCTTCTTTTTGAATCATGCATTTTTGTGTAATATAGATAGATTTAGATTTTCTAAATTAGCTTATTTTTAATTGATGAATATATCGTGTACAACATGATGTTTTGATATATGTTTAGAGGTTTGAGATATGTAAATATGTATATTCTGATGATATGTTTTTATGCTCAGATGTGTTGGAGTGGGATCATTACCTCTCTAATTTCGATACCACTTTCTCTCCTACCTCCTGTGAGGGATACAAGGTAATAATAAACATCAGACATAGAAACCACCACAGTGGTTCTTTCTTGAATTCATTTTGTCTTGTGGGGAAAAGTATTTTATTATATGTTTGAAGGACTTATGTGTTCATTATATAACTTTTGGGCTTATGCAAAAAAGCAATTTGCTCAGTTTTAAAACTAATATTTCTAGAACTGTAACTAACTTTTTAATGAATTTTATTTGAAGCCACAATTTTGGATCAGTGGATGAAGAGATATTTGGTGTGCCTATACCAATAGTTGCCTTGGTAAGTAGAAAACTTGAGGGGTTCCCTTTGTATGGAATAAACTAAAGTAATATGTATTACTTTAAGAGAAACAGAAAGTCTTTAGCAGAGTAAGCTTAAAGTATTTTTTTTCTTTTTAAGTTAAAGATTCCTGGATATGACCAGTGTATCCTCTATATTTTTGGGAAAGGGACCATTGAGCTTGTATTCGATCATGGAAATAGTTCATAACCTTTTCTGACTTGCCTGTATGTTGTTTATTAGAAAACTGTTAAATTTTTTAAAAGATTTTCAAATTCTCAGTAATATTCAGTTAACATTTGGTACTATGAGACAAAACACAGTGACAGGGCCAATATTTGCTTTCTGTTTGATACAGTGTAATTGCAAACAGTTTTAGGGCAACTTAAACTAACAGAGAAAGTTGTAGGTACATTTAATAAAATCCTTAGCCAGCATCTACCAGTAAAGAAGCTTGTGGAAGAATGAAATATTTGCCATTTTTGATTTTTGGTGTTTTTTTTTTTTTTTTTTTGAGACAGGATCTTACTCTGTCACCCAGGCTGGAGTGCAGTGGTATAATCATGGCTGATTGCAGCCTCAGCTTCCTGGGCTCAGGTGATCCTTTTACCCCACCCTCCCAAGTGGCTGGGACCACAGGTGTGTGCCATGACACCTAGCTAATTTTTTGTATTTTTGGTAGACACAGGGTTTTTCTGTGTTCCCCAGGCTGGACTCAGACTCCTGGACTGGGGCCATCCACTGACCTTGGCTTCCCAAAGTGCTAGGACTATAGGCATGAGCCACTGCCAAACCTGTTTTTGATTTTTTTTTTTTAAGACAGGGTTTCACCATGTTGGTCAGGCTGGTCTTGAACTCCCGACCTCAGGTGATCCGCCTGCCTTGGCCTGCAAAGTGCTTGGATTACAGGCCTGAGCCACCATGCCCAGCCACCTGTTTTTGATTTTTAAGAGTCCTTTCACATTGCCATTGATCTCCTGCTGCAGCGTAAGCAGGAGGTCTAGACCACCTGTTTCAAGATGGACAGTCTCCACAGTAGTTGGTGGAGCAGTTGAGAGAAAGGGAATTTAATTTCCAAGTTACAAATTCATTATCATTTGGAGAGGATCAGTCTTATTTAATCTAGGCATAGGTGCAGGGTTAGATTAAGGTATGGCTGGAAGAGTTACCAGTTAGTGACAGAGGGTTCTTTAGATGAGTTTTTTGTTTTTTTTTTTCCTGAGACAGAGTTTCACTCTTGTCTCCTAGTCTGGAGTGCAATGAGGCAATCTTGGCTCATTGCAACCCTGGTTCAAGCAACTATCCTGCCTCAGCCTCCTGAGTAGCTAGAACTACAGGTGTGCACCACCATGCCTGGCTAGTTTTTGTATTTTTCATAGAGATGGGATTTCACCATGTTGGCCAGGCTGGTCTCAAACTTCTGACCTCAGGTCTCCCAAAGTGCTGGAGTTACAGGTGTAGCTACCGGGTCTGGCCTTTAGATGAGTTTTGATCCTTAAAATGTTGCTGTGTGTGTATCTACATTTGACTATGTTAACAAAATGCCACAATTTTTATTTTAACAAAAATGTATGGTTGGGAAATAGATGGTTTTTACTTATATCTGTTTATATCAAAACATGTGCCTATCACACTTAATAAAATACATTTGTGAGGGTTAGTTATTTGACTAATGAATGAAACATATGTAAGTTGAAAATGAAAACAATCTTAGTTTCTTTTTGGGTATCATTTTTATTCTTGCCTGCATTTCTAAGATTATTCATATGATACTTGAAAGTCATGAAGTGTTAAAAATTCCTGAGGCAGGCTGTGTGTGGTGGCTCACGGTTGTAATCCCAACATTCTGGGAGACCAACCTGGGAGGATTGCTTTAGGCCAGGAGTTCGAGACCAGCATGGGTAACATAGTGAAACCTTATCTCTACAGAAAAAATGTAAAAGAATTGGCTGGGCATAGTGGCTCACGCCTGTAATCCCAGCACTTTAGAAGGTCGCGACGGGTGGATCATGAGGTCAAGAGATCGAGACCATTCTGGCCCACATGGTGAAACGCTGTTTCTACTAAAAATACAAAAATTAGCTGAGCGTGATGGCATGCACTTGTAGTCCCAGCTATTCAGGAGGCTGAGGCAGGAGAATTGTTTGAACCTGGGAGGTGCAGGTTACAGTGAGCCAAGATCATGCCACTGTACTCCAGCCTGGTGACAGAGGAAAACTCCGTCTCAAAAAAAAAAAAAACAAAAACGTAATTAGCTGGGTGTGGTGATGTAGCTGGCTTGTCGTCCTAGCTACCTTGTAGTCCTAGCTACTTGGGAGGCTGAGGTAGGAAAGTTTGAGGTTGCGGTGAGCTGTGATCTCACCACTGCACTCTAGCCTGGGTGACAGTGCAAGACCCTGTCTCTGAAAAACAACAACAAAAAATAAAAGCAAAAAGTATTAATCCTAGGGAGATTCCTATTCTATGGTTGTTGCCCCGCCATTCTCTTTGGGATTTTTTTTTTTCTTTCTTTTAAGAAAAAGGAAAAAGAAAAGAATAGTCAATGAGAGTACTGTAAGTGATGGGATATAATGAAATTGGCCACTGTTAAGGGCAGTGGGTTTTACATTTGAACATTTTTGGTAGGTTGCCGACCAGCAATCAGCCATGTTTGGAGAGTGCTGCTTCCAGACAGGTGATGTGAAATTAACCATGGGAACTGGGACATTTTTGGATATTAACACTGGAAATAGCCTTCAACAGACTGTTGGAGGTAAGTAGTTAGAATTTATCCTATTTATTAATAAACTATTACATTTGTTCATATTTAACTTTTGTTATTTACACTATTTTCCCATTTTGTAATATTCTCTAACATATTTTGTTATTCTTAAAGACAGTTAATTTTCATTTCCCCTTTTTTCTGTTTAAGTGAAAAGCATAAAAAACAAGAATGATGTTATTGAAAAATTCAGCATATTATGGTCAGCTTTCTGGTTATTTTTCTATAATACAATGTTATGTTTGTTCAAAACTGCTTACTAGGTGCTGGGTGTGGTGGTTCACGCCTGTAATCCTAGCACTTTGAGTAGCCAAGGGGAGTGGATCACCTGAGGTCAGGAGTATGAGACCAGCCTGACCAGCATGGTGAAACCCTGTCTTTACTAAAAATACAAAAAAATTACCAAGGCGTGGTGGCAGGTTCCTGTAATCCTAGCTATTCAGGAGGCTGAGGCAGGAGAATTGATTGAACTGGGAGGCAGAGGTTGCAGTGAGCTGAGATCAGGCCACTGTTTTCCAGCCTGGGTGACACAGTGAGACTCTGTTTCAAAAAAAAAAAAAACCCAAAAAAACAAAAAACAAACTCCTTACTGGGGTTCTGAATTTTTTTTTTTTCTATTTGTTAAAAAATTATTTTGTGAATTTCTTCAGGTAGTAGTCCTCTGGTAGTGACCAGTGCAATGCATAAGGACAATTGCTAAGAATTTGCACTTTCTAATAGAACAAATCCTGGGATTTACAAACCAAGAAATCTAGATTGTGTAACTATACCCTGGAGGGCTGGGGGTTGTTAGTTTGGGCTCTATTTCCCTAGTATGGTTACTAAGAGGTGGCTTAAAATGTCTTTTTCCAACCTTTTATCCCCCCTCAAGCTCTTCCTTTTCCCCTAACTAGGAAGCTGGAAGTTAGAAAATGTTGATAATGCTATTTGATTGTTTTTGTTTAGGAGCCTTGTTTGAAAACCACAGATAAGTACAATAGCATAGTTCTCTAGCAAACCAATCTCACAGTACCCTTTTATTTCTCAATTAACATATTTATTGCCATGTTTCTAGAGATGTAGACATGCCTGTAGCTAATAAAAACTAGTATTTATTGTTCATATTATGTGCCAGGCACTGTGCTAAGTTCTTTTTATATATTAACTCAGTTTGTTCATTTAGTAGCTCTCATGAGGTAGGCCATTTTATAGTTGAGGAAACTGAGGCTAAAAGGTTAGCGACTTGCAAGACTATAGCTAGTAAATGTAAGAGGGCTGGGGTTTGAACATACACAATCTGACTTCAGAGGCACTTTGCAGTTTTTTTGAGATAATCAAATCATTACTTTGTAGAAGTCTCTATAATGAATTATTCATATATTTGACTTACATTCATTGTTTGCTTTGCAAGGCTTTTATCCATTAATTGGGTGGAAGATTGGGCAAGAAGTCGTATGCTTAGCTGAAAGCAATGCAGGAGACACTGGTACTGCCATAAAATGGGCTCAACAGTTAGGTAAGTTGTCTTTTAAACAGACTTCACAGGCCAGACCTAAAGAATTCAAGAGTGCCACAGGATTGCAGATGAGTAGGGAACAAATGGATTGGTCAAACGAAACACTAAAATCAAATGACATGTGTTAAAAGAAAATAGAAAATATTTTTATGATATTGAAATAGTAAAAGGCTAGATATTAAAGACAGGAGCCATAAAGAAAAAGAATAACAGATTAACTATATAAAATATTAGTGGGTAGGGAGAGATATGTCATAAGCAAAATTAAAAGACAAATTAAAAACAATTTGTAGCATATGTCAGAAAAATTAATAATATGACAAAAATGGGCAAAGGACCGAAGTACAGGTACTTCATGATCAAATGACTATAATGAAATGCTACTTACATACGATAATTAAAGAAATGCATGTTTAAAGTGGTATTACCCATCATTATCTATTGTCTATTGCCAGAGATTAATTTGATGCTGCTCAGCATTGGTGGATATATAGAGAAAAAAGGATTCTTGTTTTGCATTGGGACACATGTTAATTAGTACGGTCTTTCTGAAGGACAGCCAAACAATATGTATCATTTTATGGAGTGCAGACCTTTTGCACTCAATTTTATTCCTTTTTTCCTATGAAAATAATAATACTTGTGTGTAAAGATGTGTATACATGGGTGTTAAATACAGCAGTTGGAAATATGTTCTAATAAAGCATTAAGTAAATGTCATATATTGATACAGTGAAACATTGTACAATAATATTAATAGTACTATAGCTGCATATCTTATTGACATGGAACATTGTCTATGATACCTTAATAGGGGGATGAAGCCGTTATAGAATAGCCTGTATAAATATTTTTTGCCTTTTCTTCTAACTGCATTATTGAAATATAATTCATATACGATATGTTTTTCCTATTTAAAATACCTATTTACTTATTAAACATTTAAATGCTTATTTAATAATTTAATATTTTTTAGTATTGTCAGAGTGATGCAACCATTACCACAGTCTACTTTTAGAACATTTTTGTTTCCTGTAAAAGAAACTTCATATCCATTAGCAGTGCCTATTTCCCCTAACTCCTTCTCTTACCCCTAGTCCTAAGCTATTATTAATATACTTTCTGCCTGTATGGATTTGCCTGTTCTGGACATTTTATATGGAATGGAGTGGAATGGAATGCAATCATATAATATACAGTCTTTGTAACTGGCTTCTTTCACTCAGCATAATGTTTTCAAGGTTCACAAATGTCGTAACATGTATCAGTACGTTCTTTCTTTCTATAATGAATAATATTATATATAATACCCATGCCATCATTTATCTATTATTCAGATGTCCATTCATGGACATTGGGGCTGTTTCTACTTTTTTATTATTGTGAATAATGAATAGCCTGTATATATTGTATAATTATATATATAATATAACCATATTTCAGGTATAAATTGTTATATAAAGAAGTATTATCAGTGGTTATCTTTGATGATTAAATTATGGAGCAGACAGATTGGCAGATTAGTTTGCTAATTTGTACTGAACTGATTCATTTAAAGACAAAGATATTTCTCTTGGCATAAAACATACTCTAGGAGGAAAATGCCAATCAATTTCTTCATTTCTCTGAGCCTAAACCTGCATTAGATGACTTATTAACAACAACAAAAAAATTGCTTCAAAGCTCTTTATCCTTTAAAAGTGTCTTCCTTCAAATTTGTTTCTTTCAATATTTTGGACATGTATTTTTGGGGAACTCTAGATTATCAGAAATAAAATATGTAGGTTACGTATTTCTTCTCTTTAAGTTACACCTTTTATTAATTTTACTCCTTCCCAGAAGATTTAAGGAAAAAGCAAGAGTCAATTTCACATTCATTAGTTAAAAAACAAAAATGATTCCAGAGTTTCACATGACATCATGTACACATTATCAATGGGAATCATTTCCACTGCTCACCTGGGTTGAGGCTCGTTCATTGTCATTGTCATGTGGTGAAAACTCTTCTCTAGGAGATGGGGCTAAATGGCTCTGACCTCTAAAAGTGACCTGATTTCTTACAGAAACAAATCTTTTCTGAAGGTCAGGTTAATCTCCTGCAGGAAAATGAGACTATTGGTCTAACTGGATGGAGGTAGAGAGAATTCAGAGTTGAATTATTTACCTTAAAATTTAATTCATTTGGCATAGCTAAATATTAGTGGTATGTATTTGTCTGAAGTTCACACACAAAAAAACAACATTTATTTGAATACATCTCTTTCTGAAAATTCACTTAAATGGGTATATTGAACAAAATAACTAAATTATCTGCATGAGTAACACCATATATAAAAGCCTGAGTAACCTTGTCATTTCCTTGAAGATTGTATACTCTGCCTGCTCTGTGCCTTTATGTCTTTGTGTAACATGCTAGGCTGTTCCCCCCTAAATGGTGGCTTCCTTCCACCCAGTTACTGAGTTGAATAACTCAGGCTCGAGTATAAATGCTGTTTTAAACTGGTCTCATCTTGATTTTTGAATTTGTTTTTAAATCTTTTTCACACCACTTCTCTTTCACTGTTTCCCTTTATCCTCCTATGTTAACTGTCACGTTTGGGTCCCCACATTTGATTATCTCTGTTCTTTTTAATTTGGTCCATTTCTGGCCCTGTTTGCTCTTTGCTCTATTTTTCTATCTGAGTCTTATAAATATGCTCATGTCTTTAGCTTTTTTCAGTTAACAAGTAATCGAGTACTTGGTATGTACTTGGAGCTGTCTGTGTTGGGAGGATACCAGCGACACTCCTTGCCCTTATGGCGGTTACAGTCTAGCAGGAAAGACATTCATTAAATGGACAATTAAAAAAAAAGTTGGCTGGTTGTGATAGCACATACGTGTAGTTCCAGCTACTTGAGAGGCTGAGACAAGAGGATCACTCAAGCCCAGAAGTTTGAGACCAGCTTGGGCAACACAATGAGACTCCACCTCTATATAGTCAAAAGAAAGAAAGAAAGAGAGGGAGAGAGAGGAGAAGAGAAGACAAGAAAGAAAGAAGGAAAGAAAGAAAGAGAGAAAGCATTAGTGTTAAGTATTAGAAAGGAGAAGTGGTAGCAACATCAGTGATTCCTTTCTAAAGGGGGACTTTGTGTAGTCTAGAGAATCAGAAGGCTTCTTTAAAGAAATGATGTTTCAGCTGAGCGCTGCATGAAGAATAATAAAAATGGCTGGACAGGTGGGAGAAGCAGTTGGTCAAGGAATGATCTGAGCAGAGAGGACCAGTGTAGAAGGCCTTGAGCAGGGAGCATTACTTCTGTAAGGAACTGAAAGAACGCCTTATTTCTTTTCTACAATAGAGGCAGTTTCCAATTCTGCTATTCGCTAGTAACAAGGGTCAGGGGACATCTTTTCTGCAGCAGTATCACTTTTAATTGTTGTGTCACACCTGCTTGCTCTAGTCAATCCCCATAAGACTCCTAGTACATGTTTAAAATTACCCAAGCCTCTTGTTGCCTAGAAATAATGGAAACTGGTTCCTTATCTCAGGGTACCTTCCCCAAGAGATACAGTCTCCCACATTAGAGATGAGATAAGCACTCTTTCCTTTGTGAACTAATTCTAAATGATGGTGACTAGTTACATGTTGCTTATAGTGAGTAGGGTTTAGAGAGGATGGTGGTCTTAATTCACGGTCCTGCCTGCCTCTCTGCTTCCTTCTGGGATGACACAGTAAAATAAGTATGGCTTGCTGCTGGAGTTGGACTGGAGCCTAAACACGGATGAAGCCTTAAGTTCTCAAGCAGACTGTGCAGACCCAGGGTCTGTGGAGGGCACCATCTGGATGTTATTGGTGAAAATGCTAGTAGCTGGTAAGGATGCTGTTAATATTCTATAGGGGTACAGCCTGCTGAACTATGCAGTATCCCATTAGTACATGGAAAAGAAAGAGCTGGCCTGGTCCATCCCTGAGAGAGCCTGCTAGTGGTGGACACATCAGTATGTTTGTTCTGAACTGCTCCCCTTCCAAGCTGAGAGGAGAGTCTAGGCTCTAGACTGTCTCTAGACTTTCGTACTCACAGCTAGAGAACCCAATAATTGAAGGTATTCGCTTCTTTACCTCTTACTGCCCACCCGCCCCAAAAGCCTGACCTTAAAGAGAGCACAGAGTATTTAAGAGCATACCTTGAAGGAGGGTGAACAAGCTCAACCAACTGTAAACAAATGGCTCCTACAGAGGCAGACATAATGGAAGAAACAAGATTAAAACAACATAAAGAATAATCACAGGGCATGGTAATAGAATTAAAAGAAAAAAAATAAAGAAAAGAAAAACCTAGTGAAAATTCTTAAAGGAATAACAGAAGATATTGCAAAGAATGTTTGGAAAATATGAGTTTTGAAGAACAAAAGCTATGCTATATAAAAATATAAAAATTAATAGAAAGTCAAATGGACAGTACTGAAAACCCAAATAGGGATCAGGAATAATTCTAATTTTATTTTATTTTGAGACAGAGTCTCACTCTATCACCCAGGCTGGAATGCAATGGCATGATCTTGGCTCACTGCGACCTCTACCGCCTGGGTTCTAGCAATTCTCCTGCCTCAGCCTCCCAAGTAGCTAGGATTACAGGCATAGGCCACCATGCTGGGCTTTATTTATTTATTTATTTATGAGACAGAGTCTTGCTCTGTCACCCAGGCTGGAGTGCAATGGCACTGTCTCAGCTCACTGCAACCTCCACCTCCCAGGTTCAAGTGATTCTCCTGCCTCAGCCTCCTGAGTAGCTGGGTTTACAGGCACCTGCCACCATGTGCAGCTAATTTTTGTATTTTTTGTAGAGATGGGGTTTCACCATGTTAGCCAGACTGGTCTCGAACTCTTGACTTCATGATCTGCACGCCTCAGCCTCCCAAAGTGCTGGGATTACAGCCATGAGCCACCGCATCCGGCCTAATTTATTTTTAGTAGAGACAGGGTTTCACCATGTTGGCCAGGCTGGTCTTGAATTCCTGACCTCAGGTGAACCACTTGCCTCGGCTTCTCAAAGCACTGGGATTAAAGGTGTGAGCCACTACATCTGGCCAGGAATAATTTAAAAACAAAAAAGAAATAAAGAAAAAAACAATTGAAAGGCAAGAGACGTAGAGGAAAGACTGGCAACAAAAACAAAAAAAATGTGAATGATAATTTTTTTTCTGAAATATTACTTTTCCAGAAAGAGGAAAATAAATGAAAATATAATAATAAAAGAAAGAATTTAAAATAAACTTCCCTGAGCCAAAGAAAGACCTGAGTGTTCAGACTGAATTGGCTTACTGAGTTAAAAAAAAGTAACAGACAGTCATATGTAGGTGATTGTCTGGATCTCCAGGATAAAGTAAAGCTTTAAAATAGAATAGTTTATTTAAAAAGAAGACAATATCAATTATTGGCAGGAAGATAGGGTGACTGGAACTCTCATGCTGCTGGCAAGAGTCTTAAATTGGCAGAGCCACTTTGAAAAACTGTTTGGCAGTATCTGTGTAAAGCTGGTTCTAAATGTGAAGACCTTAGAACTGCCCATTCCATTCCTTTGTGTTAATAAACAGAAATGTATACATATGTCCACCGAACAGAATGTACATGAGCGTTCATTGGGATCTGTTTGTATTAGCCAAACACTGGGAACCACCCAGATGTATGTCCGCGATAGAGTAGATTGATAAATTGTCTGTAGTCACATAATGGAATACGATATAGAGGTGAGAGTGAATGGAGTACAACTACAGATAACAGTGTAAATGAATGCCACAAGCATGATGTTTAACAAAAGAAATTTGTATCTTAACCTGGGTTTGAGTTACCTGGGTGTATTCACAATGTGAAAACTCACCTAGCTATACACACTCAGGATTTGTGCATTTTTTAAGTCTGTATATCATATACGTCAGTAAAAAGTTTACTAAATTAATTGTCTTGGTTTTTTTGTTTGCTTGTTTTTTAAAAATTGACTTTTAATATATCTGTTACTGGCCCTTTATTGAACTTATTAGATGAAATAGTTTTTCAGTTAATTCTCTTGAGTATTATATTATAGATAGATGATACTTTCTTCAGAAACCTAGGATGGCTTTTATCTTTCAAAGAATAATTTTTTTAATGCCAAAAATCATACATAGAATTGATTTTTGAAACAGCCCAAATATCTTCAGAGAAAAAAGTAAGGCCTGTAGAGCCTATCTGAGAGGGCCTTCTGTCTCCTGTCTCCCTTCTATGGGCCTGTAAACCTATGCAGCATGAGAATTCAGATAGTACCAGAACAGAATGGTCTTTGTGTTGACCCTTTTAAGTGAGCAACCTTTTACATTATATTCATGATAAATGTTGATGCAGGTAAATACTATCATGTAACATAATTATTTTTGTGCCTCTCCAACCTCTTCATTTTGTTTTAGGGTTTTTTGTTGTTTGTTTGTTTGTTTTTGCAGACCTTTTCACAGATGCTGCTGAGACTGAAAAAATGGCCAAAAGTTTGGAGGATTCTGAAGGAGTTTGTTTTGTTCCATCTTTTAGTGGATTACAGGTATTTTTTTTTAAGTTAATGGCATTACAAATATTTTCCTGCCACACCCAAACTTATATATCTACCACTCTGTTACCTTAAAATTTGAGCACTGAACCAAACTAAGATGAAAGGTGCATTTTAGGGTTGGGAAGTTATGTTCTGATGAAGCATGAATTCCATGAGGGAGCAGAGCATCCTGAGTGTAAGTGTGGCCCTGCTGGCTTGGATTGTGCTGATAGAATTCAGCTGACTTCGGCTTAGAACTGTGTGGAACCTAAGAGTTGGCAGGTTTATCATAGAACTTTTACATAAGACTTAGTATTACTTTATCATGACCAAAAATAGCCATTTCCCAGTGGGGGAAAATATATTGGTAAATTCGCATTATTTACTTAGAGAAAATAGGCCATTGAGAAGAGAAATAATGTCAAGGTACATACATCACACACATGCATATGTATGTATGTATTTTGCTGTTGTACATTTGTAAGTTTTCCTAACTTTTAAAAAAAATCAAAATCTTTTTCATTAATTGTCGTGTTGGAGTATTGGTTACTTTGCCTATTCAAAAAATGAACCTAGTGAAAGACTTGATTTGATAACATTTAACTTTGTATTTAATTGAAAGACCTCTGATAGTGTTTTTAGTTTTAGATATTATTACAAATACTTTTTCTTTTTTTTTGAAACTGAGTCTTGCTTTGTTGCCAGGCTGGAGTGCAGTGGCGCTCACTTCAAGTGATCCACCTGCATCAGCCTCTCAAAGTGCTAGGATTATAGGTGTAAGCCACCGTCCCCAGCCTGTTTTTCATTTTTGTGTCCTAGAATTGTCTTACATTTCTGGAGATTCAAAGATGAATAGAAACCTCATCTGATTAATACATACTTCCATCTCAAGATTTTGACTCTGTTGAAAACATGTTAGGCTGGATTATTTCTGATATCAGGCAGTTAGACTATTAAGCTAAGAGAGAAGAGTGTAGTGGTGTGTTTTTTTTAGACCCCATCTTACTTTGTCGCCTAGACTGGAGTGCAGTAGTGCGATCATGGCTCACTACAGCCTCAAACTTCTGGGCACAGGCAAGCCTCCCACCTCAGCCTCCTGAGTAGCTATAACTACAGGTGCATACCACCATGCCTAGCTAATATTTAAAGTTTTTTGTGAAGATGGCACCTTGTTTTGCTGCCCAGGTTGGTCTTGAATTCCTGGGCTGAAGCAATTCTCCCTCCTTGATCTCCCAGAGTGCTAGGTTTACAGGTGCGCACCACCACACCTGGCCAGAGTATAGTTTTAATGTCAGACAATATATTTGATTTAAGTTATGACACTGAAAAGTACATTTTTGTAGAAAGCAATTCTACATAGTACAACGTAGAAAGCTATCCTACATAGCAAACAATTTTAGTGTAAAAACTACAGCTGAAGAAGGGGGATTTCTGTGATTGCTCTTCATTTTCCACATTTATAAAGCTAAGCATTTAATAATTTGTTACCGTATACTTCAGTTTCTCATTTTGGCATAAATGCAAACAGAAGGTCTAGCTAAGTACAGTAACCGTGGACTAAAGATCATTTAAATGCTGTTAAAAAGTTATCTCAATTTTTAGCATAATCTTTGGACTATCTTTATTTTTAAATTATTTAATCATAGCATTATTTTCTTCTAACGTGGCTATGTTTTTATTGTATACTATTCCCTCAAGTCCATAGATGTAATTTAGAACAATAATAATACATTCTTATTGTCTTTTACTGTAGGGTCCGTTAAATGACCCCTGGGCATGTGCCTCCTTCATGGGTTTGAAGCCTTCCACGAGTAAATACCATCTCGTACGAGCAATATTGGAGTCAATAGCTTTCAGGTGTGAAAACCTGCCCTAAACTTCCCCTTCCCCATACAATATTGCCATGTCTGTTGCCGCACCCAGCCTCTTAATTTTAATTAAATTCTTTAATTTATATTTTTGGCTTATTTTATATTATATGTAATATGTTCTTCTTGCTAATTTCCATGGTATCTCTTATTTTTTTAGTATTTAAGGTACTAATACCACTCAGATTTGATATCTGGAAATTGAAGGATTTTTTTTTTAATCAAATTTCTTAAGCATGCAAGATTCAAAATTTAGATTTTTCAAAGATGTAGTAGCCTTATTCATGAGGGAGAATTTCAAGTAATAATGCTTCTGTTGTACCCAAAAATTGAGTCATCAGAATTATTTTTCATGCACATTTCCCTGTAATCTTTTTGTTATGGGACAGGTGTAAATTATTAAAATTAAGAATGAGGCTGTCATGAATATGGGATGTTTGTAACATTTAAAATAAAATTTTCTAGATTACAAAGTAATTATTTTTATATTTGATGAATTATATTACATTTTACTTATGGTTGCCATCTTAATAGCTATCTATTAAATAGATGCTTGTTTTAAATTTTTCTTTGTAGAATGGTAATAGGTAAAATTTAGTTGTAAAATATAAATTATGCCTTTTTACATGAAGGGAAAGAAACACAACAACCTGCTCTTCTTGCTTGAGTATCTGTTATGCAGTTTATATTTAGCATAAGTTATTTCTTTAATATTTTGTTTTGTACATTTCATAAATATCAAATAAATTAAACTATAGTTTTTTTTGAGATCAAAATACCATAGTGAATTATTATGATATGAGTTTCTTCTAAATAGTTATCTTGTGTTTTAACTAGAAACAAACAGTTATATGAGATGATGCAGAAGGAGATTCATATTCCTGTAACAAAAATCCGGTATGTAAAGTTTATTTCTTTCTTTCTTTTTTTTTTTTTTTTTTTGAGACGGAGTTTCACTCATGTTACCCAGGCTGGAGTGCAATGGCGCGATCTCGGCTCACCACAACCTTCGCCTCCTGGGTTCAGGCAATTCTCCTGCCTCAGCCTCCTGAGTTGCTGGGATTACAGGCACACACCACCATGCCCAGCTAATTTTTTGTATTTTTAGTAGAGACGGGGTTTCACCATGTTGACCAGGATGGTCTCGATCTCTTGACCTCGTGATCCACCTGCCTCGGCCTCCCAAAGTGCTGGGATTACAGGCTTGAGCCACCGCGCCCGGCCGTAAAGTTTATTTCTAATAGATTTCATTAGAAATTAGAAGTAAATGGTAGCTGCTATGAGCTACCACTCATTTCTTTTTGAGATCCTGAATAATTCATCATTATGATTATGGAAGATTTCAAAAATAACTTCTGCCTAGCTCCTTCACAACAAAATTTCTTTTTTTCAAATTGAGACAGAGTCTCGCTGTGTTGCCCAGGCTGGAGTACAGTGGCGTGAACTCATCTCACTGTAGCCTCTGCCACCCGGGCTCAAGTGATTCCCGTGCCTCACCTTCCCAAGTAGCTGGGACTACAGACATGTGCCACCATGTCTGGCTAACTTTTTTGTATTTTTAGTAGTGATGGGATTTTACCATGTTGGCCAGGCTGGTATTGAACTCCTGACCTCAAGTGACCCGCCCTCATCAGCCTCCCACAGTGCTGGGATTACAGGTGTGAGTCAATGTGTCCAGCCACAATAAAATTCTTGGTCACAGGAATTTGGAGAGGAAAGGAGAACTAATTATGGGTTTATGGAGAATATATTGCAATATCAAATTTGGGTGCATCTTGACACTCATATGTGTATTATATAAATGTTTAAAATCTCTTTTTTGAGTGTGTGGCTATCCTTAGGGCATGAAGCATCAAACTTCTTGACTTTTTTCCTGTAATAGCTAAGCGAATTTTTATGTTGCCCTAGTTTATTATACCTGGCCTGTATCAAACTAGTCCACTAAGACAAACAAGGGCAGGTGAGAAAATTGATGGTAGAAATAAGGAAAATGTTTAAAGATTACCCAGTAGGATCCTCTGTCGTTAGGTTAATGCTAAGTGATATAATTTTAGAATTAAAAAGTCAAATTTATAAAATAAAATCAAGGATTTCAGAAAAAATATGTAGGCCACTGAAAAAGAATGATGCTTTTATTGTAGTAATTCATCTCACATATATTTTGTTTCCCATAGGGCAGATGGAGGAGTTTGTAAGAACAGTTTTATCATGCAGATGACTTCAGACCTGATTAATGAGAATATAGACAGACCTGCTGACGTTGACATGTCGTGCCTAGGGGCAGCTTCTCTAGCTGGCCTTGCTGTTGGTATGTGTGAAGTTTATAAAATTGAGAGCTTTCTTGCAAACTGTTTCTTACAGATAGCCTTTCTCCTCTCAAATCACAAAATTCTAGAGAAGCTGAAAAGCCTTGGTGTCCATCAAACTCCATATACATATGCATATTGCTCACAAAATATCCTGTTGACTTCCTGTGTTGGTAAGTCTGGCTGCACCTCTTCGTACCTCACTCCTTCAGTCAGAAGTATAAGACAAGGACAGTTAATTCTCAGCCGTGTCAGTCTCTAGCAAGAAAGAGTCTCTGGGTAAACTTTCTGGTTAGATAGTGTTAAAGAAAAAAATTATTCAGTGACACTTATTAAAGAACATTAAGGTGAGCCGGTTGTGGTGACTCACGCCTGTAATCCCAGCACTTTGAGAGGCCGAGGTGGGTGGATCACCTGAGGTCAGGAGTTCGAGACCAGCCTGGCTAACATGGTGAAACCCCCGTCTCTACTAAAAATACAAAAATTAGCTGGGAATGGTGGCACATGCCTGTAGTCTCAGCTACTTGGGAGGCTAAGACAGGAGAATTGCTTGAACCTGGGAAGGGGGAGGTTGCAGTGAGCAGAGATCATGCCACTGCATTCCAACCTGGGTGACAGAGCAAGGCTCTGCCTCCCTCCCCCCCCCCCCAAAAAAAAGAAGGACTATCAAGATAGGTATAGAGACTCCTTCAGTGGGATCTTATGGTAGGAGAGAGAGATTAGGCTCAACTATAAATACAATAAGGAAAAGTGAGAAATTATAGCCAAAGAGCAGAGTGACAGTCAGTGGATGGAAAATTACTAAAAGGAAACATTGAGGTAAGGGGAAATTCTTGCTAACCATCCTGATAACATTCTCAAGAAGGCAGGCCAGGGTGATCAGATATCATCTGGAGGATGTTGGAGGATGAGATATCGAGGTTGATCAGAAATTGAGGATAGGAGATTCTGACTACACTGATTTAGCAGAATTCCTGCTAAAATTATGCAGAGGTGACCATGGATATCCAAAAGTTGAGGCCTAGTCAGAAAAGAGCTTGGAAGAGTCTGAGTGGAGTTTGGTCAAGGAGGAAACTTTGCCAGTAGGTTTGTCTTTGGCATTAGAAACCACTCTATTCTTTTATTTATTGAGCAACATTTGTGGAGCACCTGCTACAGAACAATCACTGCTGGCAATAAAGAGATTAAAAGCTATAGTCTCAGATCTCTGGTGGGAGGAGACAGGCAACTCAAGTGATGATTATGTTTGCTTGATAAAGCCAGTGAACAGTGACAGTATTAAGGAAGTGGTCTAGGCTTCCCAGAAAAGAGCACATATAGTTCAGTTTTGAAGGGGCTAGCAGAGAGGTGAGGAGAGGGTAAGAGATGGGTGGTTCAGTATCCCTATTGCAACTCGTGCAAAGGCATTGGTAAAGGATGGGGAGTACTGATATGGTGAGAGTAAGAAGGGAGTGGGAGAGGTACATAGAGGTCCGGTTGTGGCAGCACCTCATAAAGAGGAGTTCAGACCTGATTCTGAAGACACTGGAGAGCCACTAAAAAATTTTAAGTACTGGAGGAACATAGAAAGATCTGCATTTGAACAGATCACTTTGACAATTAGTGAAAAGATCAGTGAGGAAGGCCGGGCGCGGTGGCTCAAGCCTGTAATCCCAGCACACTTTGGGAGGCCGAGGCGGGTGGATCACGAGGTCAAGAGATCGAGACCATCCTGGTCAACATGGTGAAACCCCGTCTCTACTAAAAATACAAAAAATTAGCTGGGCATGGTGGCGCGTGCCTGTAGTCCCAGCTACTCAGGAGGCTGAGGCAGGAGAATTGCCTGAACCCAGGAGGCGGAGGTTGCGGTGAGCCGAGATCGTGCCATTGCACTCCAGCCTGGGTAACAAGAGCGAAACTCCGTCTCAAAAAAAAAAAAAAAAAAAAAAAAAAGATCAGTGAGGAAGAATAAGAATGGAAGTAGAAATGTCAATTAAACGACCCCCTAAGGGCCAGGCACAGTGGCTCATGCCTGTAATCCCAGAACTTTGTGAGGCCAAGGTGGGCTGATCACAAGGTCAGGAGTTTGAGACCAGCCTGGCCAATGAAACTCTGTCTCTACTAAAAATAGAAAAATGGTGGCGAGGACCTGTAGTCTCAGCTATTCGGGAGGCTGAGGCAGGAGAATTGCTTGAACCCGGGAGGCAGAGGCTGCAGTGAGCCGAGATTGTACCACTGTACTGCAGCCTGGGCAACAGTGTGAGACTCTATCTCAAAAACAACATAAAAAGGCCCCCCAGGAAGCAGGATGATGCCTTGGGACACTGGGAATATTTTAATGTGTTTCTTTCTTAGGGGTGTTTGTTACAAAATAAGATACTTTACATTTGACAGTTTTAGGCTAATAGTATATTAAAGTTACAAAAAGCCTGAAATCTTGGTAAATTCATCTTAAACTTGATTCTACTAAAAATCTGGTAATTTTGAATAAAATTGAAACAGTTATTCATTTGTTCGTTGATGAATATTTAATTTAAATTGAAGAAAATAAACTTTCCCTTAAATAATCAATCCCATTTGCAAATTTGAACTCCTTCGTATTCCAACTCCTATAAATTTAATATGGTCAATTTTCCTCTTATTACTTTCACATCTCTGATTGAGCAAACTCAGAACTGTAACAAGGTAACTCAAATACTTAACACATTGAATAAATTAAGCTATAATTATAGTAAATCAAGTTCTCATAAGCATTCTTATAGTTATGTTAATCAGATTCTTCTACGCTTTTCACCTTGTAAGACTCAATAAGTCAGATTCTCTTGAAAGTTTAAAATGCTTTAAGTAAAAATAAAATAAAATAAAATAAAATGCTTTAAGTAACGAACACATGCAGGTTTGTTGTTGTTGTTTTGAGACGGAGTCTCACTCTGTTACCCAGGCTGGAGTGCATTGTTGCAATCTCAGCTCACTGCAACCTCTGGTTCCTGGGTTCAAGCAGTTCTCCTGCCTCAGCCTCCCAAGTAGCTGGGACTGCAGGCAGACGCCACCATGCCTGGCTAATTCTTGTGTTTTTAGTAGAGATGGGGTTTCGCCATGTTGGCCAAGCTGGTCTAGAACTCCTGACCTCAGGTGATCCGCGCCCCTTGGCCTCCCAAAGTGCTGGGATCACAAGGTGAGCCACCGTGCCAAGTCCCACAAGCAAGTTACTTTTATACATAACACAGTGACTTGAGTTTTATCTATGTCATTATATCTATATTTAATTTCAAATCTTTGCTTCTATCTTAGAAATATGAGACTATGTATAGCCTCTGTATTTTACAGATTTACCCAGAAATTGGATTTGCTCTATACGCACTTAATAAAATGACTTATAAATATATATATATATATATATATATATATATGTATGTATATATTTTTAAATGTAGACAATAAATTCTGGAAATGAAGATTTTAAGAAACACATTTATTTTCCTGATTAGATTTATCTAACTATAGTATATTGATGAAAACTTCTTTCTTTAAAAACTTGTCTACATTAATACTTTATTTATTTATATATTTATATATTATTTATTTATTTGTTGAGATGGAGTCTCACTCTGTAGCCCAAGCTAGAGAGCAGTGATTCCATCCCCGGTCACTGCAACCTCCACTTCCTGGGCTCAAGCTATTCTTGTGCCTCAGTCTACTGAGTAGCTGGGATTACAGGCACACGCCACTGTGTTTGGCTAATTTTCTATATTTTAGTAGAGACAGGGTTTCACCATGTTGCCCAAGGTGGTCTCAAACTCCTGAGCTCAGACGATCCGCCTGCCTCAGCTTCCCAAAGTGCTGAGATTGCAGGTATGAGCTACTGCACTCAGTCTACATTAATACCTTTAAACACAGATAGTCAAAAATGTTGAAAGAATGTCACCTGACTACATTTTAGAAAAGAGAATTTAATGTGTCAGTTTTATGGGTAAGAGAAAATGTACTTCCCGAGGATTTGTAGACTGTTTCAAAAGAGGTACGTTAGACCTTTCGGTGAAATGCGCCAAGCTTACTGATAAGACACCTGTATCATTTCAGACTACTTATGATCTTAGCTATAAATGTTCTCGCCGGGCGCCATGGCTCACACCTATAATCCCAAGCGCTTTGGGAGGCCAAGGAGGGCAGATCACCTAAGGCCAGGAGTTTGAGACCAGCCTGGCCAACATGGCGAAACCCGTCTCTACTAAAAGCACAAATTAGCCAGGCATGGTGGTGCATGCCTGTGGTCCCAGCTACTCCAGAGTCCAAGGAAGGAGACTTGCTTGAGCCTGGGAGGCGGAAGTTGCAATGAGCTGAGATTATACCACTGCACTCCAGCCTGTGACAGAACAAGACTCTATCTCAAAAAAATAAAAGTTCTCTTGCTTTTTATTATAAATCATATGATTCTTCCTGCAAAGAGCAATCTATGCTAGGACTGGAATTTAAATAAATAGTGTAAAATGCTATAGTTTGAAAGAGAAACTATTATGTTAATACCCAATTTGAATTTTATGCATATTCCAAAGGGTTGCCTTTTACTTTAAGATGTAAGACAAAAGTCTTAATTTATCTTCATTTATTTTAATTGCATAGAAAGAAAATATCCTATTTTTTTTTTCCTTTGTCTTCTTTTTTTCTTTTTTTAGAGACAGAGTCTTGCTCTGTTACCCAGGCTGGAGCACAGTGATGCGATCATAGCTTACTGCAGCCTTGAACTCCTAAGCAAGTGATCTTCCCACCTCAGTCTCCCAAAGCACTGGGATTGCAGGCATGAACCACTGTGCTTGGCCAGAAAATATACTGTTTTTCACTGGGATTTTTAAAATAATAGCAAGTTATGAAGTTAAATGATGGCATAGAGTAGCTGCTTTAGAAGTGATGTGGTATCTTACCACACAGAAACTGAGCTGAAAGTTAGAAACCAAAAGACTTGAAAATCCTGGTATATTGTGTTCAGGAATGATTAATCTAACAAAATTCAGAAGTAACAAGGTATTTTGGATTGTTTTAAAAACAGTAATTGTTTACCTTTGTACCATCAACTCACATAGGTTTGGATAAACTTTATGGATTCATGATTTGCCTTAAAATTTGAGAATAATTTTTTTATCTATAGGGTTTTGGACTGACAAGGAGGAACTAAAGAAACTGAGACAAAGTGAAGTGGTTTTCAAGCCACAGAAGAAATGCCAAGAATATGAAAAGAGTATGGAAGACTGGGCCAAAGCAGTGAAACGCTCCATGAATTGGTATAACAAGACATAGCACTAAATGAAATGACCAAAGCCATGGATGGCTGCTTTATGTGATGTGCAGATGAGATGAAGCTCAGGGATAACCAATATGACAATGACTGAGAGGAGAAAATTTTAAATAAGTTTCATAACTTAAGAGAAGAAGCATTACTTTTAAAAAAACAAAACAAAAAACTCTTATTTTTTCCCCTAAATCGTGGTAGGGCAGCAATACCTCAAAACTTTATGTCTTCTATTTTGTAGCAAATTCCAAAGGACATTAGTCATTTCCAACCATATTTTGACAGTTATGGGTCTGCTTCCTTTTTATCCTGGGTCAGTGGTACATAGGAACATAATTATTTACCATGCAAGCTAATAGTTCTGGGTCAAGCACCATGCACGTATTGTTCCAAAATTATGTGAAACGTATTTCTTTAATTCTTTAAAATTAAGTGAGCTATTTGAAGCACTTATAGCTAAAAAGAAAGAATAGAAAATGTGGAATTTCGAAACATTAATATTTTATGTTTAAAGCCATAATTTTCTAATATATCCAAATATGAGCTTAATATGTCCCTCTCAGATAAGCTTATGAGTTAGTTAATGCTTTCCTTTACTGGTCTTAAAGACACTGCCTTAATTTTTCCTTGTTTAACCAAAATCTGAGCATTCTTTCTATGTTGAAATCATTGAAAAACTAATTTTAGTTAATGAACTAAAAAGAATATTGATTTTTAAGAAACAGAAAAACACTACTTATTTTCTTTCTTAAATAACATTTATTTCAAAAACTTCTGGCTGAAGTATAACATGCTGGTAGGTAAGGTAAATCTTGCCTTTCTCTTGTTCTTTATCTTCCTTCATAGTTTAGATGCTTGTATAAATAATGTATTTCATTTTTATTAAGTGCCTGATTGACAGAACTTAATTTGAAGAAAGTGCCCTAATTTATTGACCACTTAAGAATTGCCTTTATTGGGATTTTTTTTTTTGTTCCTGCATCTCTTTGATGTTTGCTCAGTCTGCTCATCTCTCTCAGTATGTGCGGTAGATAGCTGAGAGAGAGGAGGAAAGTGTGTCTATGCTCGGGATTACCCTTCAGTCACTCAGCCAGAGACCCACAGGGAGCAGCAAGGACAGTCTCACATTCTCAGACTTTCCTACAAGAAACAAGAGGAGTAAGTTGTGAGTAGTGTCAAGCTGGATATCGAATTGTCCTAAAGCAGTTGACCCCATCTTCCAACACGTTTTCACTTTATTTGCCCCTCCTACATTTGCGGTAGGTTCCCTTTGGATCTGCAGCAATAATGACTATTTCTCTCTTGGTCAGGATTTATCAAATAAAATCCTTTTATTACAAAACTAGGTATTCTAGTTACATAATAATGTAACTAAAGGAGAAACTTACAGAGAATTTTGTTTTTGCTGTCATATGTGTCCATTTTGGAGACAGATATGATAGAACTAGAAGTTAAATTGCATTTCTGCAAGTTCCATTTAAATGAACTTCAAGTATCTTAATTATTCAATTTTCTGATCAAGGCATTGTAGCAAATATATAGTATCATTATTAATTAAGATTTGGAAATATTTTTGTTATTAATAAATAGAGGTGTTTTATTTACTGTAAAAAGCCAAGCCTCATTACGTAGATAAATCTTTTTATTCTTTCCCCTGTTTGCATCCTTTCTATAAAGCTTAGTCACCAATTAAAGTCTTCCTGTCAGAATCACATGGAAGCTGCTCTGCTGTTTTACTGTTACACATTCTGTTTCTCAGTAAGTGTAATTTTTTTCTTTTCCTTTTTTTTTGTACAGGGTCTTACTATGTTGCCCAGAGTAGTCTTTAATTCCTGGCTTCAAGTGGTCCTCCCACCTTGGTTTCCTAAAGTGCTGAGATTACAGCCATGAGCCACTGCACCCAGCCAATGGGCGTAATGTCATAGGAAATAATTATTTTTGTTACAATATACTGAATTGTCATATTAATACCTGAAAATTTGTTAGTTCACTTCTTTTCCATGTTCCTCATTCCCAACATATAACCACAAAGTAAAGGATAAATACTTTGGGTTGGGCAGAGTGGCTCACGCACTTTGGGAGGCCGAGGTGGACAGATCATTTAAGGTCAGGAGTTTGAGACCAGCCTGATGAACATGGTGAAACTTATCTCCACTAAAATACAAACATTAGCTAGGCGTGCTAGCACAATCCTGTAATCCCAGCCACTTGGGAGGCTGAAGCAGGAGAATCGCTTGAATCTGGGAGGTGGAGGTTGCAGTGCGCCAAGATCATGCCTTTGCACTCCAGCCTGAGCAACAAGAGCGAAACTCCATCTCAAAAAAAAAAAAAAAGAATCAGTACTTTTCAGATAATGTTGGAAAGTAACTTTGAATGTCTCTCATCGGAACTGAGCATCTTCTCAAGTATCAGTGGCTATTTTTTCTCTTCTGTGAATCTAAGAACTAATATTTTATTTTTAATATTTCTGGCTATTTTTAGTGACAGAGTTTAGTAAATATTTTGTCAGACTTAACCAATATCAGAAACATGACCACATTTGCTTATGTGGTTGCAGAAACAGTTGATAAGATCAATTAAGCAATAAAATTGTCCTTTTTTTTTTTTTTTTTTTTGAGACAGGGTCTTGCCCTGTCACCCAGACTGGAGTGCAGTGGCACAATCTTGGCTCACTACAACCTCCGCCTCCTAGGCTCAAGCAATCCTCCTGCCTCAGCCTCCCAAGTAGCTGGGATTACAGGTACACGTCACCATGCCCAGCTGATTTTTATATTTTTACTAGAGACGGGATTTTACCATGTTGGCCAGGCTGGTCTCAAACTCCTGACCTTGTGATCCACCCACTTCAGCCTCCCAAAGTGCTGGGATTACAGGTGTGAGCCACTGCGCCTGGCCTGTCTGTCTTCCAAGTTTATTTTTCATTTGTATGCTAATATTTAAAGTTTAGGAAAATGTGTGTTATTTCTCAGCGTGTTTTATTTTCCCTTTATGGATCTATCACATATTTTTAGGAGATCTGCAGCTATCTCATCAAGGAAGAGAATGTTCCTGTTCAATCTATCTTAAAGTGCTACTAATTGCTTTTATACTATAGACTTGCTGATTTTTTCATCTTTTATATCCAACTATGGCATGATTTCCCAATCTCATCACTGACATTTTGGACTGGCTAATTCTTTATTTTGGGATACTATGCTGTACATGAAAGGATGTTTAGCAGTATCCCTGACCTCTGCCCTCTAGCTACAAGAAGCATCCCCTTAGTTGTTATAACCAAAAATGTCTTCAGACATTGCCACTCTGAGAGGCAAAATTGCCGCCAGTGAGAGCCACTGATACAGGCTGTTAGAAGAAAGTTGAAAACTCAGTGAATATAGTGTCATACCACTTTTCTTTTTGCCTCATTTTACCTTGAAATGGCTGTTAGCAAAAAAAAGAGGTAGTCATGTCTTGAAATAAATAGGGTTTCTATTTTGCTGATTAACGAAGAAAAAATGTCTGAGCCGGGCATAGTGGCTCACGCCTGTATTCCTAGCACCTTAGGAGGCCAAGGCAGGCAGATCACTTCAGCTCAGGAGTTCAGCCTGCGCAACCTGGCAAATCCTCATCTCTGCAAAAAATACACAAATTAGCTGGGTGATAGTCCCAGCTACTTATGGGGCTGAAGTGGGAAGATCTCTTGAGCTCTAGGAGGTGGACGCTGCAGTGAGCCAAGATCGTGTCACTGTACTCTAGTCTGGGTGACAAAGTAAGACCCTGTCTAAATAAATAAATAAATACTCAACTCATGCTATAATTGTCTTCTGATGTTTTCATCCACCCAGCACCACCTCTGCAGCCTTAATTACTGGAGTAGGTCCGTGATTTCAGTGTAGGGTTAATGTATTCTGCAGATCATCTTTTATTTGACTTGCTTTTTTGCTTCCTTTTCATGTCTGAACAAAGGAGATGATGATTCTCTTTAGTCTGCCTTCTGTGCAAACCTCTACCAGACTGGAAGCTCCCTGAAAGCAGGAACTTTTTGCTTCTCCAGAATTTAGTACTGTGCTTTCATGTTTGTGGAATGAATTTTTACTTTATGTCTGTTAGTGCAATTTTGTTTGTACACATTTTATCCTTGATATTACATACATTTGTTGATAGGGAGCAATTTATATTTCTTGTGTGTAAAATGTTTCTGTTGAATTAAGAAGAACTACTCTGTAGTGAGAGCTAGAATCTTCATATTGTTTATTTAAAACTTTGGCCAAGCACAGTGACTCATGCCTATAATCCCAGCACTTTGGGAGGCTGAGGCCAGAGGATCACTTGAAGCCAGGAGTTTAATTACAGCTTGGGCAGCAAAGCAAGACCTTGTCTCTACAAAACATTTTTTTAATTAGCCAGGTGTGGTGGTATGCCCCTGTAGTCCCAGCTACTTGGGAGACTGAAGCAAGAGAATCTCTTGAACCCAGGAGATGGAGGCTGCTATGAGCTATGATTGAGCCACTGCGCTGCAGCCTGGGCAACAGAGAAAGGCCCTGTCTTAATAAATAAAATTCTTAATACGTTTATATGTTTGAAAAAATATTTGTGTAGAGATACACATCTGTAAATTCACATAGTTATATTAACTTTTTAAGGTTTAATTGAAGCCTTTCTCTTCACAGGTTGTATATAGTTGACTGCAGATGACTAATAGATTGAGTTTTAAGAGTGCCAAACGTTCTGGTGCTATAGGGAAGGAACTTCATAAATAGCCCCTCCTATAAGGGACCAGTTTTTAATTTAAAATAGTCCAGCTCAGGAGTCTGGCAAGAATTTTTTAATTATTTGAGGAGAGATGTATGTAGATGTACCCTGGAGTTCTTTGACTTTATTTTAGAGTCATCCCAGAGATGGCCTAGAAGGCCCATTGAATCTACCCCAGAGGATTCTGAATCCCTTTGGGAAATTTAGACTATGGTTTTCAGTAAGAATTAAAAGCCCCAGGACAGGCTTGGTGGCTCACACCTGTAATCCCAGCAATTTGTGAGGCCAAGGCGGGAGGATCACTTGAGCCCAGGAGTTTGAGACCAGCCTGGGCAACATAGTGACACCCCTATCTCAATTATAAAAAAGAGAGAGAAAGGCCGGGTACAGTGGCTCACGCCTGTAATCCCAGCACTTTGGGAGGCCAAGGCAGGTGGATCGCACGAGGTCAGGAGTTCAAGACCAGCCTGATCAGTGTGGTAAACCCCACATTGATCTACTAAAATACAAAAATTAGCTGGGTGTGGTGGTGTGTGCCTGTAGTCCCAGTGACTTGGGAGGCTGAGACAGGAGAATTGCTTATCCCAGAATGTGGAGGTTGCAGTGAGCTGAGATTGCACCACTGCACTCTAGCTTGGATGACAGAGCAAGACTCTGTCTCAAAAAAAATAAGGAAAAGAAAAAGCATGCACTCGAGAGAGAAAAAAAAGCCCCAAACACACCTTGGACCTTTACAGCCTACTTGTTCCCAGAATCATCTTATTGTAAACCCAAAGCCAGGTCATCTGGTTCAAACCAGTCAAAATGGGTAATCTAAAAATGTTAAATAGATGATTCAAAATCATCTTGTTTTTTTTTTTTTTTTTTTATTTTCTTTTTAAATCCTCTTTTCAAGAAAAAGGAGTTATGTTGTTTCTGTTCTTTAAGTTTTGGAGCCTCATAGCCATAAATATTTTGGCACCAGCATCTCTTGGCACCTAAGTAATTTGGCTGTATGGGCATCATATTCCCATGGGACCTTTGTTCCTAGAGGAATGCAGGAATGATCTTGGAGTGGGAAGGACAGAGATAGGGACTTGCAAAATCAGATATTTCTGAAATTATCTGTTATTCTATTTTAACTGTCTTTCCCCACTTTACCATAATTCTGGTCTGTTATCAAATGGCTGTGTTTAGACAGATAACTGTGATGTTTAAGGAACAAATAATATAGGGACTCCCATTAAATGATCTTTATAAGAAACTGCCAAACTGTTTTCCAGTCTAGCTGTACCATCTTATATTCCCACCAGCAATGTATGAGTGATCCAGTTTCTCTGCATGCTCACCAGCATTTGGTGTTGTCACTATTTCTTATTTCAGCCATTCTGTTTATCCTTCTCAGTGAAATTTCTGTTCATATCTTTTGCCTATTTGCCAATTAAGGCAGGAGGATCACTTGAGCCCAGGAGTTTGAGGCTGCAGTGAGATATGATGGCTAAATGTTTGCTAAATGAGCCATATCTTTAAATATCTTCTTAAAAGTTTTTAAAAATCAGTCCAGTGGTTTATGTCATTATGTGGGAAATCTTTCCAGGCAAAATGTACATGGTATTTTGAATATATTGACAATGTACTGAGCCCAAGAGTTCTCATATTCTTTCGTTGCTCATTATACAGTTATGATACTAATACTGTATAATAGTAAATTTTCAAAGGTACGTTTACTTAGAATGTTAGAGTATACAGATATATACTTTGTACATAGTTATAGTATTTCTAAACTTTTTATTTAAAATGAGCTGATTTGTATAAAGGTTTCAGAATGATTTTGTTAATAAGTAATTAGAAACTTTCCTATTTGTGCAAGATAGTATAGATTCCAATTTGTATGCCTCAGTAAATTTATAATTGTATTTCTCTGATGTTCTTAATGAGTTTTTCAGTTTTATTAAATTATCATTAAGAACCTTATAAATCATCGTTAAGATCTATACAAAAA